AGCTAGGGTATGCTATGTACGCGCGCCTGCTCGGATGGTGGGCCACGCGTGTCACGTTACTGTGTTGGACTCTAATGTGCCAGCACACGTACTACTGGCTAGATCATTGTCGTAGAAGCTAAGGCATCGTTTAGTTCCTCACCTTAGAGTTTTCTTTTTATTCATGGAATATTTAACACATGTATAAGTATTAAATATAGATTAAAAAATAATTAATTACATAATTTACGACTAATTTGTAAGATGAATCTTTTAAGCTAATTAATCTATGATTTGATAATATGATGCTATAGTAACACATGTGCTAAGGACAAATTAATTAGGTTTAATAAATTTGTATCGTGGATTACTAACATATTCTGCAATTTATTTTTTATTAATATCAAACACCACCTAAAACTTTTTAACAATGCCTAAAAGGATCTATCGCCGGGTCGTCTGTGCGTGTCTTGTCCTGGACGACAGCAGCTGGCTAGCACTAGCAGTACGTGCATCGATCGATCTGCTTGGCGACCGTCTGACTGTTCGCTGACTTATAAACGATCGTAAATTTTCAATCAGAAATAGTATTTTTCTCTTACACTAAACCAGTTAGCAGTAAATAATCCACGATACGATACGGCCTTCTGAACAGGCTGTGGCGGCGACGCGCCACCCGGCGGCGGGGCCGGCGCGCCGGGAACATGAGTTGGTCCGATCCCCTCTGGACGTGTTACGCGGGCGCGTCCCCGTTGCGCACCGTAAAGCGTATGAACGGCGACTGTTACACCCTCCGCCCGACCCCTCCGCCCCGGTTCTCCGTTTCCCGATCCGATCGGCCGTGGCAAGTGGCAGAGGCGAGTCCCACGTCCCACCTTTTCGTTCCGTGCAGGTGCGCGCAGCACGCAACAGTGAAGTCAGTAGCGGACCCAGGCTAAAATTTCAGGTAGGACGGACTTAAGTATGCCAAGTGTAATCAACATTTGGATCCAACACATATCGATCCGTATTCACAATAATTATAGTCTAAATAACAGTTAAATGGTAGTAGAGTCGAAGACATGAGAAATAAAGCACATAATAAGAACTGTTGTTCATAATCTATATAGTTCACCATACATTGAAAGATTCATTCAAGACAAAAGTAAATATAACTTGTAATTGTCAATTTCAAAATAAATCTACTGACTTATACAGTACTCCAGTGAATATGTAACCATAACCAAAATTGACCAATCTCTTTGACGATTTGGAGTCATAGAAAGCAGGGAAGTATCCAGATTAAATAATGAGCGGTCCAGTATTTATGTACTTATTTTTGGAGCCGGGAATGCTGCCTGCAGGCGCGCGGCGTGTCGTGGCTGCCGGCCTACCGCGCGGAGCTGTCGGGGCTGCGCGGGCGCTAAGGCGAAGCCAGGCAGGAGTAGCCGAGCAGGGTCGCCGGCAGTTGTGCGCAGGCGAGGCGAGAAGCAGGAGCGGAAGAGGGAGCGCCGAACCTAGGAGCGCTGCCGCTTGCATGCGCCTCGGCTTCGAGCTTGGACGCCACCGCCACCGGCCCATGTGCCCCTGGCCTATGCTTTGCCCTAAGGCCTACACGATGGGCCGATGGCCAGGCCAGACCCAGTTCGGCAGTCCATTCCAGCCCCCAAAGGCCCATAGTACCACCAGAGTCCAGAAAGGCAGAAGCTCCCGTTCCGGCGGCGTTCGTGCCCCCTGGTTGTCTTCAACCTCATGCTCCCGCTCAGAAGGCTCCACGCTCGCTGTTCAGCGCTCTGGGGCCAGGGATCTCGCCCGAGGGGAGGGTCCGCCTATGAGTGAGGCCTTCCTCCCAATGAGGGGTTTAGGGTCCGAATGATTGAGTGAGGCCTAAAAAATAATTAATTATGAGGTTTATTAATACCACGAATTTTTAAGTCTAATTAGCGAATGATTTGACAAAATGACAACGTGAATAAAGATGGTGAATTAATTAGGCTTAATAAAAAATCGCGATTGTAATTTATTTTTTATTAGTATAGAATATCTATAGATTAATTTATGACGTAAAAAGCGACATGCCGACCCCGGGCCGTGCCTCTTAGGGGCATGGGCACGGCTTTGTTTTTGCCACCAAAAGGCGGCGGAGGGCATTTGCTGCGACGAGCTTGGCTGGGCGGCGGCGGCCAGCCTTTCGCACCCTGAGCCGCAACACACAGCGAAGCCGCATGGGGTTGAGTTGCGCGTGGAGGCGCTTCGGCGCCATCGCACTCGAAGCCGCCGCACGCTGCTTGATGCCGCCATGGAGGATTGCGGAATTAGCGACGCGAGATCCGAAGGAAGGAGCTAAAATGGGAGAATGGGGCATGGAGGAGGAGGACAGGAGGAGGCGATGGAGCTGGAGCGGATCGCCATTCCCCATCACAAATCGCCTGCTTTCTTCGCCGCTTTTAATTGCTGCATGCTCCGTCCATGCCTCCGTGGCCAATTGGCCATCCTATAGCCTGCCGATGCTCCTTACTTGGGGTATTTTGATACAACATATAAACTACCTCCGTCTTAGAGAGAATGTAAATCTCACTTTTCAAGGTGAGATTAGTGTAGGTGTAAAATACGCATTTACCTCTCATATATCATTCTCCCCCATAGCCAGAAACTAAAAAAAATCATTGCATTCTGGAATATTCCTCCCTTGGATGGTAGTTTTTTTAGACATGTAGTGGTATTTTTAATATGTGGGTCCCATGGAAAAGCTAATCTTAAGACCATGATTAGAAATGCAGGATTACAATCTTTTTGGTATTTTTTAGACATTCTTTTTTATACAAGATTTGAAATGCATGATTACAGTCTTTTGGGATGGAGGGAATAGGGCTTAAAATTACTCCCAATTTTTAAATGCTAATTAGAAAGGCTAAATGCCCATGATTAGTATATTATCACAAGATGGACTCACGCTGAACTAGCCTTGAGATCCAAACGCCCCCTTTTCCATCACCTTGCTTCTTATTCCACCCATTCCATCCATGTGTGGCTTCTTACTCGGTCGAGATCCAATCCGACAATTGTTGATGTTGTCGCCGCCGCCTATACAAGTGTTGACAACTACAATTGCCAAGAAGGAGGCGATCCCAAACTTGCCACCAAAAATCACCCTAGGACGGTTCGTAATTTCTAAAAACACATAATGGACTATATCATTATATTTCTCTCGTCGAGACGACTAAAAACCGCATATATATAAAATGTCAAATTTGGAGTCTGGATGAAGAAATCACGCTTCTGAGAAGTCTCACTTGCAAAAAAACGGTTCAAGCAGGTTTTTGTACAGTTCAAAACAGCCCAGGCTGGATTTTGCCGTCGAAACTGACCCGAGCTGGTTTTTCGGATATGAGTTGTGCTTTGATGTGATTTTTGTGTGTTTGACACGATTTGCAAGGCGGTTTTGCTATACCTAAATCATTATAAATAATCTGTGTCCAATAATAAACAAATTACTTGTTGGACACTAAACAAACAAAAATACACTATAAAATATCTCACGTGTACCTTTGAAACATTAGCAAATACACCGGAACGTGAATAATTTAAAAAAAATCAGAATACATAATGAAACATTTTAAAAACTTTAAGAACGATCCAGAATAAACCTACAGGCTGTACACCTCATGAAATAGAAGGAATGAAAAATAAATTAAAGACGAAAATAAAATGAAGAAAAGTTAATTAGAATCAGTAAATAAAAAGGAAGAAAAAATGAAAATGTAAAATGGAAATGAAAAGACGGAGAAAAACTATGTATCAGAGGAAATAAAAAAGAAATGAGAAAGAAAAAAGAAATTGAAAAAGAAAAGAAAAACAAAAAATAATTCTCGTAACAGGCCTTCGAGATGGACTTTCCGTGGAGTACTCAAGGCCTGTTTTCGTGACTGAAATGGGCTAAAAGAATCTACCGCTGGAATAGAACAGGGTGAAAAAGGTGGCCGATGAATGCTTGTCTCCTAGGAGAGTATTCGGTTATGCTCTGGTCCAAAAGGCAAAGCAAACATATGTTTTGACTTTGGACATGTTTAAACGCCTGCTAGTGGAGGTCGTGGTCGTTGAACCTCAACTCGAACGAATTCGTGTTCTTCGTTTCCTGACTTGTTTTGCCTTCTGCTTACGGTAAGTGCCAAAGTCCATTCATTGGAAGGTTTCAATAGTGCGATCAAACGTTGGAATTTGAAGCAAGACCCCAATACTACTAGTACGACGTACAGTAGTACTACGGAGTATACGCAACTGCACCCCTTTTTTTTCTTCTTCTAGTCCTCTTTGGAACACAGGGAGGCAAAGGGATTTCAAAGGAATACAACTGTAAAACATAGGATTGGAAAACGTAGGAAAAGTTTACAATATGGTGGATGGGTATAGGAAATTTACAGGAATAGAAGGTCCCGAATGCATCGATTTTAGTTAACTAATCCGAGCTACACACGTGCACCAGCAGTGCACAGCAACAGGATCGATCTTTGTTTCCTTCTCGTATTCGTGCCTGTTGGTTTACCCGGTCCCTAATTACATCACCAGTTCTTTTGCATCGATCCTTCGCACAAGCCAGCAAAACAAAGAGGTCTGAGTACATGTTTCTTTCCTGTAAAATTCCTATGAAATCATAGATACCTACAATACTCCTTTGGATTTCCTACCACGCTTTCCTACGAACCAAAGGCTCCTTATACAGTACAAAATCCTTTTTTTTTACAAAATCCTTAGGATTGTTGAATCCTGTGTTTTTCCTATGAATATCCTCCATTCCAAAGGAGGCCGAAAAAGGAAAATTGGCCCAATGGACCGAGCGAAGGCCGAAAGCAGTGGTCGACGCCGATGGGCCGGCCTTGTATAAATGCTCAGCTCCATTCGTCTTCCAGCTTCAAGGCAACCAGCCAACCACCACCTGACCACCACAACGGAATTTCCCCCACCACAACACATCGAGCTTCCCTCCGGACCATCACGAGCAGAGCCGAGAGAGGGAGATCTCAGCGAAGCCACCGCCCGACGCCATGTGCTATCAGGTGAAGTGCGGCAGCTGCGGCAAGCCCACGTGGGCGGGGTGCGGTCGCCACGTCGCGTCGGTGCACGCGCAGATCCCGGAGGGCCAGCACTGCGCCTGCCGCAACTGGCCCGGCGTCGCCGCCGCCCCCGCTCCCGCCCCGGCCGTCGAGAAGAAGGCCTTGGGCGCCGCTGACAACGATGCTGGGAAGGCCTCCGGCACCGCCGCTCCCGCGGAAGGCGGCGCTGCGCAGTGAGATTCGCGTCGCGTGGTGTTCTGTTCCCCGACGATCTCGGTCGATGATCGAAACCCGCCGTGTCGATCGAACGAACGTGTGGTCGTCGTGCTACCAGCGATTGTATCCAGTCGTACGCTACTCGTGTTGCGTGGTCTAATTTCGTATTGTAATGAACACTGTCCGCGCTTTGATGCGGATTGACCAAATAAATGTTTTTGATGTGTAAGTATTTATCTCAATTTATATATGGCTGGTAGCGGATTGGAGTAGAATTAAACTAAATTTTATTCTAAACTAAATTATATTCCATTCTATTTCAACACATGTAAATTGAAGTGAATACATTTACATCAAACAAGTCTTTAGCGGTTCTATTTCCCCCTCTCTTTTTATCTCTTTTTCGAAAATATTCACTTTATGTTGTTGTATGTGTTATACTGGGAGTCTTAATTGGGAGACATGGATTAAAAACATAACAGTCAGTTTGGCCAGTATTAGTGGAGTTTTTTTCAAGAGTTAGAGCTTACTAATCTCTTGGGACCAACCCATGACTAGGTCTAACATAAGGCATGCATGAGTTTTTGACGCATTGACAAGGTTGATGTGTTTGAGCTAATCCTTTACATTGTTCATTGTGAAGTTAGTGATAGAGCCAATAACTTTAATTAAGGGGGGCCAGACAAACATGATGAGACACTTTTTAAGTGTGATAAATATATACATAATTGTATATCTCAATAATATTTTCAATACTTTTACATATGTTGTTAGTATTCATAAAAAAAGGGCTTTGTTGTGGTATCCTCGAATGACTATAAACCGTTCATTTAACGAGATCAGATGGTTAGAATCATCTATTACTTCTTAGAAGGTAATAGTATATATATATATATATATATATATATATATATATTAATTCGGTAAGATAGGATAAATTAGGAAAGTTTTTGGTATAAAAATCTTTCTTCCTGATCTAATTGATATATGCATGATCTGTTTGATATGATATAAATATTTTTATTTTGTAATAATTTTGAACATGACATAATTTGATCAGCTCAAATTGCCACAATAGCTAATGTACGTGATATAATTTGATTAGCATGTAGCTTTTCATTCACCTGACCGTGACAGCTACACAAGTTGTAGTGTGTTTGATTCCCGACGTTCATTAGCATACGTGTAACATGTTACAAGAAAACGGAAGCCAGGTGCTTTTGTTGTCACGTACGTGTAACATGTTTTAACATTCACTATAATAATGTACGTGATACACAAACGTGGCGTGCACACCAAAAAGGAGGCCAGGCCACTCAATCGCTTCTATCTAATCACGGTGGGAAATTTCCTGCACACCAAAAAGGAGGCTAGGAGTTTAAAAAAAAGAGAGGCCAGTCCACTCAATCGCTTCTATGTAATCACGGAGGGAAAGTTCCCCCACTTCTTTTGTTGTACCGGTGACTAGGGGATTTCAAAAGATTTTTCTTTTTTTCTTAGATTATTTGTTTCATTAATTAGTTCATAAAGGTAATAAATCAATGGCTCAGATTGCTTTGAACTATTACCTCCTAGAAGGTAATGGTTGTACTGTAACATTGCCCAACAAAAAAATTATTATGATAAAAGATGAGTAAAAATGGGCAAAATGTGATGTGCATTTATAATCACCCTGGACACATTTTCACCGAAAACCGAACATCGAACCGAAACCAAACCGAACAGTCGGTTTTTCGGTTTGGTGATGAGATAGGTGAGAAGCTGTGGGCAACTGTGAACACTTATTTTCGTGCTCTATTTGAGGAGTATAGAGAACTGTATGCTCCAACTCCAAGTGACAAGGTGCCTTCTGAAACTCAAGAAACACCAGCAGTGAGCTCTGGGTTGATGAGCTCCATAATTGCACAACAGATGAGCAATAAGGGGGTTGTAACACCTCGGTGTTAAGCGTGCATTACTATTTCATCCCATGAGCATAATCATCATCACCTCATGCATAAGCATCATGCATGCATTTCATTTCGAAAGAAATGAAGTATCATTTCATGTGGTGCTTAAGTTGATTGAAATTCATTATGTTTAAAACAATGTGAAATGCCATGCTCATGTTTGGATGCCATGAAGTCTTGTTTTGATCACTAGGATAGCTTATAAATATTTAGGATACAATTTGGAGCAAAGTTTATATTTGAATTTTTGCCAAATTTTGCTTTTAAAAATAATTATTCAAATTAGGGTTTTGAATTAATATTGAGTTTAATTTGGTAATTCAAAATCTATTTGGAATTTGACTTTGGTCATAAAAGCAAAGTTGTAGATCTTGAAAAATGGAACAACTTTTATTTTTACACCAAATTTTGAAACTGCTTTGAAATAGTTCAAAATTTCGTTTGAATGAAAAAGGATTTGAAAATAGTTTGAAAAATCTCATTTTTCCTTTAATGGGCCGCCGCCGCTTATTGGCCCACCCAAGATTGCCGGCCTGGCCTGCCTGCCAGCGCCCTACTCCAGCTCCTGCCGCCGCCTCCCAGCCGCGCTGCCAAGCGTCGTCACGTCAGCGCCGCGCTGCAGCACGCCTGCCATGCAGCGAGCACGCCATGTGCCCTGCCTTGCCCCCCGCCCTCTGTCGCGCCTACACCTACCCGACCACGCTGCGCTCCTCCTCACTCCTCCACTTCACTCTCTCGCCTCCGCCACTTGCCAGCCAGTGACAGCAGCTTGGCCTCCGCCACCGCCGCACTCGCAGCTGACTCGGACGGAGTTGGCCGTTCGGCTGCTCCAGTTCGCCTAAGCCATCTCCATCTTGCCCTGAGCCTCGCCTCCTCCTCGCGCACCTCGTGCTCGCCTCGGTAAGCCATGATAAGCTCCCCTTCCCCGGGAATCTCTCGCCGAGTCGTGGCCAAGCTCACGGAGTGCTCCACTCCGTGGACCTCGCCCCTCCGTCCTCCTTCTCGCTCTCCCTTCACGCGCACGAGCACCGCATGAGCTCGGTAAAGCTCCCGCGCCACCTCTCACGCCCCTTCCCAGCTGGAGATGGCCGACCGTCGGTGAGCCGCACCACCGCTCCGCCATGGCCGCTGGCCAGCTCGCTCTCGAGCTCCTCCGACCCTACCGCTTGCACCGACATGTCCGCCTTGGCAAGGTGGTCACGTTGGTGGTGACCTCGTCGTGGCCACCTGCCTGACAACGAGCTCACGCCGCCGGTCGTGTGACCTCCTGCCTGCCGGGGGGCCGGGTGGTGGGCCGGCACTGACCCATGGGGCCACTTTGTCACTATAGGGATGCACTGGGTAGAAAGCGGGTGGATCTAGCAGTTTTGAACATGGATTTTCAGAAAGGATTTAAGAAATGATTTTCAGATTTTTATTTAAATGCTTTGGGAATTTATAACTTGCTCAAAATGGCTCTAAATTTGTTGAAACAAATTTTATTGTGTTCCTTGTCACCAGATCTACATGATAAAAATATTGCATGTCATTTTTGAGATACTTTAATGTAGAGCTTTATTTAATTCTTGATATTGCTGATATCTTGTAAAATGTTTAGTAAATCATATATGTATCAGAAAAATATGATTCCAAGTTTGTTACTCTTTTTGTGTAATTTACTTCCTAGGAAAAATATATGACATACATGTCCTGTAGAAAAATTATGAGATGTAGTTCAAGTGCCTTTAATGGCTGATTTTTGTTATTTTTGCTAGAGAGCAAAATTTGTATAAAACATGCATGTGATAATTTTTGTGCAGTGATTAGTTACTGTGTAGAACATAGGAAAAATATTACATCTATTGTTTGACACTTTTCACAGTACAAAGTATTTTCATGATCATAATTATGCCATAGCTTGTCATTTTTGTGTAGGCTAATCCACTTATCCAAATGCCATAAAAATTTAAGGGTAGGCTATTTAGGGTAGTACTGTGCTATGGTAATTTTCTAAGATTTTTCTATGCTATAAAAATAGATGTTGCTATTCAAACCTATTATTAATTAGGGTTTAATCAAATGTTGCTTTATGCATGATTAAGAAATTAGTGAAGCTTTGGTGTATCTTTGAAGCATTTAATGAGATGTGTTGACTTAGCATATTAGTAGTAGAAGAGAATACAGTAGATGACATGTGCTTGTAGTACATGTTCTAGGATGATGTTGACTACCTTGCATGCAAGCACATTCATTGTGTTCATTTCATCTGATGCACCTTTTGCATAAGCACTTACGCACCTGCATCATACAGGATCGCAAACTGAGAGCCCGGTCATCATACCCAAGGAGCCCGAGGAGCAGCTCGAGGTGCAGCTGCAAGAAGTGACCGAAGCAGACGAGGATGGCGTTGAGGAACTTCTGGAGTGCCCCGATCACCGCCCGAGCTCCTTCGAGAGAGGCAAGCCCCGGAGCATTTTCCTCCCCGGTTTGCGATTATTAATTAATACTTTACTTTAATTGATGCGTTACGTTCAGGAGTTGTTTACAACCGTTGCTGCATTATACCTTGTCTACCTTTGTTATACTATATCCTTGTTACCCTGGTATCCGCAGTCGAGTCAATGCTTAGCTGGCTTAGACCGATAGAAGTCGGGTGATTTCCTGTCACCTGCGAGCTATAGGTGGTTATCTGGATCTGCTTGGATAACTATGTAGTCATGGTATAACTAAGTGTTAATTTGAAGTTGAGACCGGACGGAGACTTACAGAGTTTTGGACTATAGTGCTTTCCGTCTGTGTCGATTAAGGATCGACCGTTGTTGGGCCTCATGTCATGTTGAACGCATGCCTTATATTTAGCTGGCCGAATAAAGCACATTTCGACCGCGAAGCTGGGAGATTATTCGGGCCGAGTAGATTGCCCGCAGCGCACTATACCGGAGCAGGTGTGGTAGGACACGGGGGCGCGATGATAAGACCGAAAGGCAGTCGGTCGGCCCCCGGGTACATGTGGTTCCTGGCAAACTCGAGATTTTTCCTGGATAGTTGACTCGGTGACCGATACCTCACTTTAGCGGGTGAGTGAGGTTTGTG